CAAAGCAGCCAAAAATCCATTTTTAAGGATGAAAAGAAAATTGATTGAGTAATGGATGAAAAGATAGTAATTATTAACATTATGATACTGCAAGTGGTAATTACGACTAAACGTTTTAAACATTATGTCTCTAGATGGATGGATTGAAGCAGCTCGACGTCCTTTTTGAGAATATATATTCTTAATGACTCCTCTACCTATTACATTAATTTTCACGAAAGTATTAAACCTTTAGTTAACATTTCATTGAATTCAGAGTATAAGCTATATTAGCTAATTAAATAGATTTTTTACATCATACGATTTCGAAATTCGTTTGTACTTTATACCATTTTTTGTACATACATGTATATCTGTATGCGAATCGTGCCAGTTATATTATACATATTTTAAATTAACTGATATAATTACGCATAAATAGCTTGTCGCTTTCAATCATGTCCATATTTGTTATATCATTTAAACACGAGTAATAAGCATGACTGCTGGCAATTAGCAATTAGGGCTATATCTAAATATACAGTCGACTCTTGTTACTTCAAACCTGCGATATTTTGAGCCTCTCATTAATTCAAAGTAATCACGAATCCCCTACAAAATCTCTTTAATAATTAATTCGTACTCATATGGTCAAACACTCGACAATTCAAATTCGCGAAGGTTCTTGGCGTGTTAGTAAGAACTTTGAATTTGAATTTTGGGCTCCCCTGAAACTACCTATCTTTATTGTGCGTGGTTGCGTGTTGCGCATAACTAACAAAACTATTATCTACAAAGCAAAACAGATGAAACAGCATATAATGCAGTTTTTCTTCATAAAAAAATTATTGAAAAGTCTGAGTAGCAGCAATATGTTTCGAAGCAAGCCCGTATAAATGAGTTCTATTCAAAAATTAATTAAGTTGGACATAAGTACATTACTAATATGTAAACTATCAGCAGTTAAATAAAAACCCTTAATAATTCGAAGTTTTTCGATAATTCGTAATATTTTAAGAGTGAGTCCCTTGAATTTCGAAATACTGCGAGTCGAGCGTAATTCCAAAGCGCCACCTACTGGGCTTCCGAGGTATTATATTCAGATATTCAAACCAGCAAGTACCATAGAGAGGACACAAACCTTTGAAGTGGGACGCTGAATATCTCCGAATTACTTACACCACTAAGTAAGGCCAACAGATATTACAGTGCAGAAAATTATGTTCGCTTTTTTAATACATAATAATTGAAAATGGGAAATCAGGATATAATGGTTTTGTTAAAAGTATGTAATAGGCAGAAAGAGGCGTGGCAGACCCCATAAAGTGTATATATTCTTGATCAGGGCGACGAGTTGAGTCGATTTATCTCTGTCCGTCTGTCCGTTTGTTTGAATGCGTCGATCTCAGAAGATATGAGCTAGAGACTTGAAATATTTTGTTCTAGGCCCGTGTGTACTACGCGCATAACGAGTTTTGCTTTACAAATCGATAACTTGACCCGTTATTTTGTTATCGATTAAAAACATTATCGGAAAACAGTAATAAATTTATATCTGCTACATCTTTAAAGCTAGAGTCGCCAAATATAGATTTATATGTATGTTTTAGAATTTCGATTTTTGTCAAAATTTACCCCCACCTTTATATTCAACCCTTCACCATCAACTTGATAAAAGGCGTAGAGACTTGTGCTTTGAAAAATACATGCATATCTACTATGTTATATTCATAATTTGAAAGTTTCATGAAGATAGTCATTCACAATAAACATTTAAATTGCCATAGTAAGTCACCACTGCAGCCAAGGCGTGCTTATGCGTGCCTGCCTATATTTGTCTATGCGTGTGTGTGTGTGTATTTCTTGTGTAAGCAGAAAGACGCAAACAATTATTGAAATATAAGTTGTTCGAAGGGTTCAGGGGATCTCGAGCAGTCTCGACTAGAGCTTTCTTACTTGTTTACCCTGAAAATCATACTATAATGGTTTTGTTACATACGTTAATTTTTAAGTATTTCCCGAAATATGATGCTAGATCTTATAAAATTACATTTTTTTTCTAATACTCTGTTTATCTCATTTGTTTCTAATTTTCTGGTTATCTCATTTTCATTTAGCGCATTCTTTCAAAGGGTCGATCTGTAAATGGCAAACAAACATACGCACACCTTATCAATAGAGAAAACAAACAAAACATACCATAATTAAAAATGGAACAGAAATCAATTGAGGTGGCAAAACCAAATAGGTGGCAAAATCAAATGTCTCTAACGCACATACATATGTACATATGTATATGAAAATTCATCTAAACACACGAAACTGCAACGTCAAACAAGCTGAACATTAAACACTAAATTTGAACTATCACTTGAAATTATAAGTAAAACAAGTACGAAGGCTTCAGACAAGACTACTCGACTGGGCGATACCCTGAGCCCCCAAGCTGATATTCGAATCATTCTGCACTTCTTTTATGCACACATACAATCACGCACCCTGCTGACTCCTCAGCTAGCAGCGACAGCGCGTGGGTTGCACTGCGGTGTGGGCAATATTATGAGAATTTATTTGTTGCATAATATCTCTTGTAGTAGGAGTATCTTTATGAAATTTTCAGAGAGGGATCATATGGATCATATGATAGAAGGTGTGTACATACCAAAGAACAAGTCTCTAGTACTTGAAATACGTTTCTTTACAAATTGGTGGCTAATGGGGCGTAGTAACCAAAATCTGTAAATTGCAAAATCTTTGTATTCATCAAATGTATATACACAGTAAATCTAAAGTCTCCAGGTCTAAAAGTGTTCTAATTTAGCTGAAAAAAAAAAAAAAAAAATGTTTCTATTATTCTCGGGAAAAAGTGATCGGATGATTTATCGAAAAAATAAGATAAACTTGTACTGCGTATGGTATACACGAGTGTGCAGCTCTTCAGCTCGTATAACTTCTGAGATCTAGGCGCTCATACGGACGGACAGGCGGACAGAGCTATATCAACTCTGCTTGTCGCCCTGATCAAGAATATATATACTTTATGGGGCCTGCGATGATTCCTTCTGCCAGTTATATACTTTTCCAGAACCCATTATACCCTGATTTCCCATTTTCAATGCGTTCAAGTTATAAAAACGTTTCAGTCGGGCATTACCGACTACAGAGCACTCATTCACAGCTCATACTTTGAATGAGCCAAAACAAACGTAACTGTAAAGTTGGGATGCTTACGATCACTAACCAGAGAGCACATAGATGAGACAACTAGTGTAAAGCGTTTTGCACACTTATTTTCGAGCGTAATCTCCCAGACACTTCGTATTTGCTCGGCTCTYYSCTTTTAGGGTTCAGGCTACGAAAATATGGGAGGTCAAAATCATTCGTCTTCATGCGCTCGACCGAGATGGTCGACTATTGAACAAAAGATCTCTATGCGCTGAATGTTTCCCTTGCTCTCTCTCTCTCACGATGCTCTCTGCTCTCTCAAATATGTATATGTATGTATGCATGTGAGCCTCACATTGTGAGCACAAGCAGCAGCTCACGAAAATTGAAATTTCTTCGCTGCGAGAACCCATGCCTTCCCTTCTGTGTGAAGAGTATATCGAACTTTTCAAACCCTTCCCACAAATAATAAGGAAAACGCATGACAAACGGTCATCTATGTGCTCTCTGGTTAGTGTTACGATCCAAAAATGTCATAACTACAGTGTATTTTCTGATATGACACGTCCCGAAAGAGGCGTAAAAATTATTTTTGGGTCATCGACAGAGGCCGTTTCTGATAACTCAACTATACCAATTTGAAGCTTCTATTTCTTAAACTGTAACAGTTATGAGCTTTTGAGGTTTGCCATGCTCCTTTTGGGCGTATATGTATCCGCCATAGCATTTTGATCTTGAGCGGTCAACTCGCATATACATTCCAAATTTCATCGGATCGGGAAAATTTTAACACCTTACAATCCGTGGATATATACACGAGTATATGTTCCATATTTCAAGTGCATACGGAAAGACGACCGGGCAGCAAGACGGGCATTACACAAAAACAGCATACTCATTTCACTTTCGTAAATGAGTATTCGATATATGTAAATTGTACATATTGATATAGTAATAACATATTGAGTACATAAATAAATAAGTAAATTCTGAACATTCTTAATATCGCGTCGAACAGAAATAAATATGAAGGCAGATAATGTATTTGACTAGAACTCAATAGAAAACTTGAGACATTAAATAGTTGTTAATGCAAAGCTAAATTGTTCTATGTAGAATATAGAATGAGTCTGCAAGACTATTTACAATTGAGAAAAGGTATATTTGATATGTGAAGTATGAGTTATAGCGATGCTGAACTCAGTTGAGATATGCTGAGCTGGTCTTTCTCTTACACTGCTGGAGGATAAGATATGGCGAACTCGTAATGTAGATCCTATAACACTATATTCGGAACATAACAATCCGAAAAAGAGCGACGTATTTTGGTAAATGTTCATCTAATATCTTATGTCATATCTGATGAGTGAATAGGCTGCTGTAAGGATCTCCGCTCGTTGAAAATATCTTGATGTGGAGGCGTCCATGTTTGTACTTGAACACTATGTAATATAATTGAATTGAGTTTGAATAAGTTAAGAATTGATTTTTGCATAGAAATGAATGTAAATTTTATTTCGTTACCTACTGAACAAGGCATATTTTAATATCGTAGTATTAGAATGATAATATCGTAGTACATTTTCAAATGAATGATTTCATGTAAGGTTGTGACAATATATATTGTATGTATGATGAGCTTAGACTGTAAAGTAAACGAAATTCAAAATGTTATAGTGCACATATGTTTACATACGTATATGTAATATTGGATATAGCAATATTGWAAATAAATAAATATTTCGATATAATATTAAAATGGTTCGTGGTGTAATGATTCTTGGCTTGGTTATGCAGATAAGACCGGCATTGAGCAGTTATGTTAGCATTATTGTAGCGTAGCGGTCTCGTTTTTTAAATACACATGGATCGTATGCTGTATAATTCGTGGTGGTTTTCCAAGTTTTAACTTGATACCCATCGATCGATATGGATGCTCTTCTGCAATTTCTTATTACTTAAAACGCTACATCTAGTTTTGAGTATGTAGATAGAAGGGGTTCCGATTTTTGGGTGTGAATATATTTGTTGCAAGGCTCCTGTCATCTGCTCATTTACTGTGCACATCTACCATGTTGTCTTTTATCGAGAGGCTCTGTAATTTTCAATTACCAGAGTCCCGATGAATAACCGCCGGGTGGGACACGATTCTTGATAACTTGACTTCCGCCGTTAAGATGAGCTGGTTGGATATAATCGGTTCCGCCAGCTTTGTACCCCTCGCCGGTAACGGGATTTCCTTCTAGGAAAAAAAAATTTTGATATTAATCATATGGTTAAATACTCTAAGAGCATATCATACCCGATCTTACTCCTCCATTAATTTTAAGATTCTCAGTCGAAGAAGAAACAGACGATGATGCGGACGACACCGAACCACTTTTTCCGTTATAATTTCCCTTGGAAATCAACGGAGCGGTATTCGGGTTTTGTCCAAAGGGAATATTGCTCTTCATGTGATTCTTGCTAGGTGTGATGGGACGAGCCGGTTCGCCGAATAAACGCGAGTACGAGTCAACTGGTTTTTGGCCTCGACGTGGTGTCTCACCTGTTTTGTATAGTGCGAATTTGTTAGTAAAATCGTTGTTACATAATTTATCCCACACAAAAATAGACAAAATAATAAACACGATGTTTACATTGTCAACTCAAATCTTGCACAAAATATAATAAAATGTTAGCTAACGACGATCAGGCTCTGGTCGTGATATATAAGAAAATATATTAGGGGACAAATTGGATTTATATTCCGTGTTTGCAATTTTAGGTTCATTAGAGACTTATGAAGATCAATTTGTGCCGCTCATGCCTGTGTAACATAGATGTGGTGTATTAGAATCGTGCTTGAAAGTAAGGTGATCGTAATGAAGGATCGTTTCTAAATTGTGACTAATCACAACCTTGAAATTGATTATTTTGCACATTTCAATTAACAACAAATCAATAATAACAAAGTTAAAAACAAAGATTTGTTAAGTCGAACAATTTATATTTATTTGTATACCAATGTAATAGAATCTGTGAGCTCCTTGCCGCACTGTAAAGATATATAGAAAAAGAAAGAGAGAAAAAGGAAAACGGGAAATGTTCCATCAAAATTTATGCTATCAACAGCAAATTTCGGAAAATTAAAAATGGTCAAAAGATTGTTCGAGATAAAATAGAAGCTTTGGTGTTTGTAATCATATCTAGCTAAAAGTTCTGTTTCCCAGTCTTCCCCATTATTTTTACTAAATATGCATCTATTCTCGTTTATTATTTTCCGTTCTATCTATTTATTTCTTTGTTTCCGTTAACTTTCAAAGCAAAGCATTTACCGAATTTCAACATCATAAGTGGATCAAGCGTCACCAAAGGGGTAATTTCACCAGACAAGTTATTTGATGTAATAAAATTAACATTCGTAAAACAACATTCTAACTTCATGTCACAAAAATATCAAACAAAGCGAAATCGAGCCTATTCAACACTTGTGTACAAGTTTTTGTAGCCCTTTACAGAAAGCATTACTTACCGTTGTTCTTCTGGGCGGCATCTGTGTCGGTAGAGAATATATTCGAGGCCATCAGATTTTTGACGTTACGTGGAGTTTGAGGCTGTTCGGATCCGAAAATGTCACTTGACACTCCACCAGGGGCCCTCAATACTCTAGAAGTACAACATTTATTTCTCAGTTAGTTAAGTCTATTTATAGGTTATGTAATAGTAAATTTAATTATTTAAAACTGAAGAAATTACTAAATTACATTAAACTTAAGCTTAACATTTTTTTCACCGGTACTTGAGAAAAACTTTATATTAAAGGCATCAATTGCTTAGCTATCAGACTAAACAAACAGTAGCAGAGGGAGCTGCAAAAGTTAGTGCAAGTCCGTTTACTTTCGAAAGCCTTTCACATATGCAATGTGCACTGTTCAATGTGCACCGCAGCTCAGAGGCAAATCTGAAATTATGTTTTCCCATTGACCAGAGAATGTAAAAAAGTAAAAAATAAACTTGACCGGTAAGTATTCGCTGTGCAGATGGTTCATATGCCATCAGCGACTAGCGCTAGCTAAACTTGCTCTCGGAGACAGTCAATAGACGCCTAGAGCTTTTACCTAGTTTATTGGAGACAAAGCTTAAATTGCATTGAGTCAAATTCAGCGATATTGGCAAAACACTTCTATATAAAACCTTAAAGTAAAAGTTGTTTGATGTAAGTAAAGGTGACGGTGTCAACAACGATTTATATTAGGCCGACGCTTGCACTTGATTGGCAATTTAAATAGGATATATATTGAAGATTGAACTTATGGCTCTTATAGTCCCTTCACTTCAGTAACATAAAATATGGCTTGTTATTGATATTAACATGTGAGCGTATACTATTGAAAACATAATTATTAATGATAATGAGCTTTATAATTATAGCTTTATACATATCTGTTACTTTAAGTTATTCTTCAAACAACTAAAAAACAGTTGCAATAATAAGTATTACAATTATTTTTTATCGGCAACTCCGACATTTCTCTATCTTGGAAGAACGGATAAATAGTTACAACTCTCTTAGAATTCTTATCAATTATTATTTCATTAATCAAGTCAATTGTTTGTATAGTCAAAATTACAATATAATGTTCTGACAATCAACAACAATTCAAAGAACAAAGAAAACTTTCTGGGGCACGGATAGCTAAAACCAAACAAAAAATTGTAAAAGAAAAGCACTTACTTTTAGGGATAGAGATTATTTGGGGTTCAGCTTATTGGTTTATTGAAATCAATAATAACAATTTTGCAGTAGTAGATTAAAGTCAATTTCTCTACTGTTAAATCAGTTTTTAAGTAACAAATAGGAAAATCAAGTAGAAATTTTTAAGTCGGAAGTTTCCGACACGCGGATATTGCACAAAACCAATTAACTCTTTCCCCCTTTTTCAAAATAGAGTATAGAAATAATGAATAACGACTTTGAGCTCATTCGTCTGTAACATACAAATGTCCGAGTAATTGTTCATTGGAGTTCATTTGTTGTTTTTATTGAGCTTGGGTTGCTTTAAATTGGCTGCAGTGATCTGCTCGAGCGCAACAAATAAACCGTTATTGTTGCCATGCTGCGGCTGCTGCGTCTGCTGCCGATGCTGCTCTGCTGCTGCTTTGTTTCATTTAAAACGTGCAACCGCAAACAAAAACATAATGAAATTTTTAACTGAAGCACGAAAATTGAGTGCGATTGCTGCATTTTGGTTTTGTTTTTGTTATTTATAATGCCTTTGTATGATTTTGTTGATTTCCCTAAAACGTTGATTAGATGTATCCATTATAATTGCCTGACATGCCAGAAACAATAACTGACGTTTGATGACTCGGCTGATGGGGCTGGCCACTTTCCCTGCGCTTTGCCAGTTCGGCAGCTGTGCATTCAACCAGAGTTTCTGTTGTTCGATGCTGCACTTTTGATAGATTGCCGGCGCAGGCATTTCGAATGTTTGGAAATAGTTAAAAATTGATCAGTGTTAAAATCAAAAAGAGAAAAAAGTCGAATGTGAACGACTACCATATACCCTGACCCACGGCCCTGGGGATGGCAAAGTGAACTGAAGTTTAATATGGATTCATTCAGATGGACTGATAAATTACTCCACTGTTGAGACCAACAGATCTCGATACATAAATTGTAAGTTAACTTCAACAAGTTGTATAATTTAAAGAAACCCTAAATCGTGAATTTTCCCAATGGTGTATCTTTATATTCGAGTCCTGGAATATTTATTACATACATATAAAAAACCTGTTTCTCATTTATGAATTGAAAGTATATAAATACATTAAATATGATATATACAAAAATCCTTCATTGTCATTTACATCGAGATACCTCGTAGAGTATCAATTAATTGCTTAGCTCGCAGAGAATCTGAAAATGCGCAACGCTCACTCAGCTCAGCTCCGTTGGCAGGCTATGCAGCAAGATTGTCAATTATCGATAGTGCTTTGCGCGCCTGATCAATAATTATCGATTATATGCATAGAAAGTATATGGACGTCGAAAAGAAAAAGAAAAGTTGCCACACTACGTTGGCTCCACCAAACCCCAAACAATTATACATACATAAGTGTGAATATCAGCAGGTATGGATAATTCAGAATTTATATTCAGATCTTTCACAGTAAAGTGAAAGTCACCAACTACATTATGCAGTTTATACAAATCAGTTCTGAGTGAGACTTAAGGCCAGGGCATTTATTGATTACTAATCGCCTATAATAGGCTGATTCTGAAGAACCTCCCTAATATCTCCACATAACTTTGCTATCGACATTTCCCAGCTATTACTTTTAGGCATACGCCACGAGATTCACGTGCTGATCGTCTTTATTGATTGTGAATCAGAACGAGCCCAGCATCTACTTTTTTGCATAGCACATTATAGTCATAATTCTTTACTATTAAAGAATATATCAGTGATTATAGTTTTACATTCATTTTATAGACGTATCAATACGATTTCAAGACAACTAAATGTTACATACTATGTAGGTATATACCAATATATATATTCTAACAAATTACTATAAATTGTTACAGATCATTTAACAAAAATCGACCAAACATCTAAGTATACAAGGCATTGCAGCTATTTTCGCCAGGTACAACAAGGTACGAAAAGACTTCAAGAATGCGCAGCTCTTAATGCCTGTTACATGCTTCTAATGTGTCGGCAATTTAATGTTGAATGCCCATATATATATAGAAGAATCATTTCTTATATACATATACATCCGACGAATTACTTTATATATACATACATATTCAGTATTTGAATGGTATACTCAAGCGTAACCATGACTTTTCGGATATATATAGCGATTTTTTGGCAAAAGAGACATTTATATTTGTACTACTTTGCCAGTTTGTCCTAAATATGCACATCAATAATGTTGGCATAGCAACTACTTATTCCTTTATAGGAAAAGGAATTTTATATATATCAATTTATCATGCAAATACACTGAGGCTAATCCCTTTAGGTAAGCCTAACAAATTTATTAGTTGTAGAGTGTAACGAGCCACAGTAACTTATTTAATGCTGTCAAATAATACGAACTTTTTACGTTGTAATATTATTGATTGTAATATATTAATTGATATTGAATATTGATTGAATATTATAAAATATGTATGTATACATACATATCCCAACAAAGCAAAACAATTCAACTACACAATTCGTTGTAAAAGATTTTTGTGGAAAGATCGAGAAATTAATTTTACGTGTATGGCATTATTACGCATTAATATTAGCTTTCTATTAGTAGAGGTCCTTTAATGTACGATTAACAAACGATTCTAAACACATTAATTTCAAGAAATTCTCTTGAACTTCCAAAACATAATCAATAGACAACTTTTACTGTAATATTAGCTTAGTTTACAGCATTTAAAGATAAAAACAAATAACAATTTATAATTGATATTCTATAATATTCCTCGTTAAATCGACTATTACTATTGATTATCAGGACGAGAGTAGGCGGGAAACACACTTTGTTCCATGATGTGCACCTTTCACTACAGAATTTCTTGCTTGCTTTTTTTATTATCTCAGTGATCGGCAACAAAACCTAAAGAATCGAGGCGACGGGTCATTAGGGAAACGTTCGAAATAGAGACAGTGGCAGGTGTTGGAGAGGCAAACAAGCAAGCAGGCAGGCAGGCAGGCAGCTTTTTGCATACAAAAAGTAAGCAGGGATTGAAAAGCAAATCGAAAAATCAATGAACTGCTTAGTCTTAGCGCCAGGCCGGCTGCGGGCAGCGGCAGCTGGCAGCCGAGGCCCAATAAAGATACGTTCTTGGTGCCAGTTAGCAGACTGGGCTGAAGAACCTGCATGCCCACATGTGGGGGAAGCCCAAGGTGAATGCACTATAAATTACTGCACAACCACAAAACTGCATATTTTCATGCATACCATGCCGCATTGGTGTTCATATGTAAATTTACGTAGGAATTTGGGGAAATCAATTTGGAAATTTTAGACTTACCTCTTTTTGGCTTTGCCGACATTGTATAGTTCAACATGTTTGAATGCAGCATAAGTAGCCATGCTATAAATCTTTATATTATGTGCGCTATCCGGTTTAGGTTTATATAGAAGTATATATGCTTGATGTATTTATACTGCGGAAATCTTAAAGATACACGAACACAATCAGTATAAGGTATAGAGGGAAGATTTGCAAATTCAATCTGTGTGAGGCGTCAGCTAAATTTTGAGAGGAACCTGCAGCACGTTGATGACTCATGCTGCAAGTGCTGCAGCAGATGCCTGCAACGGATGCTGTGTGCGCACGGCTGAGAAAAAATCAATAAATATATGTGGAAATGGCACACGGATGCGAATATCATAATTTTGAAGGAAATTCAAAAGGAACATTCTCGAATTAAGCTCACATTATAATTTGCAAATTTTCAATTGCTCTTGTTTTTGTTTATCACGTTTATCTTTAGATGAGGAGGGGAAGCACAACAAACTCACAAAGTAATTATTCACTTTTTGTATTTTATAATCTGAAATACTTTCAGAATACACAAGCTATTTTTAAATGATATGATTTGGAGTCGGATTAATGCTTTAATACAAATTGCAAGGAATGAAAGCCA